TAACGTGTTTCGGCGTTTTAAAAAAAATTAACTCATTCAAAAGATAAGAATTTTATTCCGTACTTTTGGCCATCCCTGTATATTTCTTATAATGTACAGGTTGCAACATAAGTATAATTATATAAATACATAATCTACATATTTTTTTTTATTAGAAATACAATATGAAATATATCAAAAATTCAAAAAAATCAGTCATCAAAAAAATTAACTCATTCAAAAGATATGAATTTTATTCTGTACTTCTGGCCATCCCTGTATTTAAACTTACTTCGCATAATCAGGTAGCATCTGTTTTTTTAATTTAGACAACATATATTAACCTTGAGCTACATGTGCTTATTTATAGCAGAAGGATATAACAAAGAGGTTCACAATATACCTACTTCGCAGCTAATATCTTAGCAAGTTTCCATACATGGGCTAATTTTTTTTTCATTATTATTATATGTTAATACTCATTCATAGAGGAATAAGGTGTGCTATTAATATTCTGGGATCTGGAATATGGCATCTTACGACAAATATTTTCAATATATCTATTTTACTACTATTAATAGAAAGTAATATAAATGAAAGTTAAATGAAAATATTCAAATATTTTATTAAATTAATTTCGACCAAACCACTCGAGTAACGAATAAAATAAATTATATAAACATAAAAAAAATGTAAATATATGCATTCCCCTATAGTAGAAGTCACTGATGATAGTTAAAGTTAAATGCCTTAGTTTTACTTGATTATAAAGCTTTTTATCGAATTAAGTGAAGCATACTTCTTGTAGCAATGCATTATATTGGCTTTAAACTATCTTAATGGCTTCCTTAATTGAAAATTATCTTACGAAAAAGTCACAGCGTGTTATAAGTATATAATAATCCATGTTTTAATCATCTATTATGTGGTTGGTTATGGAGTTCCACAATAGTCCATTTAGGTCCTTTATTGTTTACAAATTACTCTTCTCAATTTGAAACCGTCGCATCTTACTGTAACTCTAACTTTTATGTTGATGATTGTTCCCATTGTAATGCCTAAAAACTTAAAAAATAATTTATTAATGTTTGGTTTGGAATAGGAGCTATACTTAACTACACAAAAGTCAGTGTATCGAAACAGGATTTTATTTTTGCAGGTCATAACCACAAATGTCTATAAAAAACATGTTTTAAAGGACGACATAATCATAAATGATAAACGCCATTAATTTTCCAAAGCTAATAGAAGCCAGAGAAAGGAGGAAACGGAAACATTGTCACAGGACAAGACGTAGACATACCAAATTGAGTGGCTAGGGTTAGCAGTGGCTTAGAACAGTCCAATAAAAGTCCCAAAAAATCCAAAGAATTAAACCGACCTCAAAAAAGCTTAAGAAAGTTTAAGGAGAATCCGTTAGAGACCTATGTGTATGACGATGCTGAGAAAAAAAACAGAAGATGATTATATAAATTAGTCCATTTACTTATCGTAAATATGTGGTCCTTGTCGTGTATGTTTGTTAGATGAGTGAAATAAAAATAAATAATATCAGGTTGCAAACTACAGTTAGCAAGTGTTGAGTATACAGTAGCCAAAATTATACATCAGGCAATGGTATTATAATACAAACACAGACCCATGTTTTATACATATAAAGAAGGAAAAATATCGAGAACTGGCAATAGAAATAGAAAGCAATCATTCTTTATAAGTAAATGTAAAATGATTTGTTTTAAATCAAAAATAAACTTCTGGTGGACTTGGTTCTGGCCGTCCATCGGGAAGATACGTCAGAAAAAGCGGTCTAAAAAAATAAAAATAAATTTTCTATCTTCAAATATGTGTCTCTTGTTATCCTAAGTAGGGAAAGTGTATGATAAATTTAAACATATTTTCGAGGATCATTAGGATTGAAACATAGTTGAATATCACACTAAATAGGTATTTGCTATTAGAAAAAGTAAATGTACTCCTAAAACAGTAATAATATATAGGTAAACAACGCAAGTAGTCTCAAGGATTTTCCAATAATAAAAGGCTTCGCTCTTATATGTGGGATTACCCTGAAAGAAGAGTTTTTGGTCTTATTGCAATTTTAACTGAACATTAAAGTTTCGTACTAAATTCTTTATATTTTACGAAGCTATAAAACATTTACAGGGGCTCAACGAGCCTTTTAAGACCTTACAACCTCATTAGTAATACTTGTTCAAAAAATTGTCATCTCAGAAGTAAAGAATTGACGAGTGACTTTTAAATGATGCCCAAAAAACTCAAAATTAGGTATTTTGTAGTAACTGATTTTTATTATGTTATGTGAAGACTATATTGAAACGTGTAACTTTATTTGGATGTAGGACAATCAAGTAAAGCATATTTCATTATTTAAAAAAATAATAAAATTGGCAGCTAGCACGTACTGTTTTAATTAAACAAGAGTCTTAGATGTGGAACATCTTGTTAGCAAAACCAGAAGAAATAAACACTTCGATGACATTTAGCTACTTACAGAAACATTGGCGATGGCATATAGACCACTTTAATCTTCTAATAATAATTTTCCTGGAAAGCACTTAGACGTTTTATAAATTATACATAATTATTAACAAAATAAATCCTTTTGTAGTCCTTGTGTTATATGTATACAAGTAAAGAAACCACCTAAAACCTATGCATGAAACTTTAAGAAAATTATACAAAGGTTCAAGCTACATTACGTCAGTAAAAAGATCAAAAAGCATTTCCTGGTTGATTGAACTTGAATTGAACATATTAAACTAAGGAAGATAATGTTTAACAAATAAAAATTACTTTGTCGTTAATATCGGTTTTATTACTTCCATTTTATATTATCTCCAAGCACGTTTGCATTCGCAATGCACGCTTTCTTTTTCTACAGTCTTTCTAAATAAATATCCACTTCCTCCAAACCAGACAGCAAGTTACCAAAAATCATTCGAAATAAAGTAGATGATTTAAGAGAATACACATTTTTAGTTACAGATGACGTATGTCAACTTCACATCTTCTGCATCGTTTCTAACTGCGTTATTAAGACACATTCAGGTATGAGTAAAAATGGGAAAATACACCTTGACAGAGTTAAGTCAAGAAGTGCGTAAAATGACCATAGATGAGGCTGACACCAGACCTAATGAACTAACGTTATTATAGAAAATATAAAGCAATTAAAATCTGTGTGATATGTTTGATAGAAGATAACCAGTGTAGGTTCTACATGAGGAGTTCTACATGAGGCAGAGGATGCTATCTTCTCCTGCACGTGGGTTTGGACGCCTAGCAAAGCTGCGCTATCTGCTATTCGGAAGAGAACAATCGGAAGCTGGAAACTATGCAAAAGACCCATTGTCAAAATTTTAGAGCCTAATTTTAAGACTAAAGAGATATGTAAGATCATGGAGTTCTACAAGAAAGAGATGATGTATCCATTTCATATATCTATAATCTACAAATTGTAAATCAATCAAAATTTAATCATTCAAATATAATTCAGTAATTTCGTTTGCTGAATTAACCTTATTATTTAGAAAAATTAAGAAAACTCAAATGATCCTAATATACATATCATTTACCTTTACCTTTTTTACATTTCAAATATTACTTAAGTATTATCATTAATTTTAACATTGGCTTAGCACATTGTAAAGTTTCTTTTACATAATTATCACTTATACATATGTACATTTTTTAGAATTCATATTTTTTTTGCAAATTTAGTCCTAATTATCATTATCGCGTTTTACGGTCATTTCACTTGTCTCATATTTTTGACCTGGTTACAGCTAATCCAAAATGATAGCAAACATGTCAGGAGCGATTTATCAAAATTTTTACCTGTTTAATGCAAGATGAATACAATCTATTAAAATTCCATGAATTGAATGAATTGAATTATAGATAGTAATTCAATAAAAACCTTCAAAGTACTAACGTGTCTTTATGGGAGGGCATTTCAAAGCACTACAGCAAGATAACGATATTTAAAAAAACCTCAAATATTTGGAATACACATGTAGGGATTATATTTTATTATGCTAGATTTTGATACGATTTTGATAGATTGTCTTGTGTGTTGTAATGGTTGAAAACACGACCAAAACCACTTTCAATATAATAAAAAAAAGGTGCCAGCAAAGATGACAGTGCAATTACCAAGAAAGGTTCATATCATGTATACCTTTAATTAATTAAATTATATTCCTGAAACATTATTTGTTGTTACTTTTTCGTAGAATAATTTGAATTCTCCTCGTACATTGGCAAAAGCCAGTTTAATGGTAATTTTATTACTTGTTAGACATTTATAAACAAATTACGTGATTTTTATACAAAATGGATATTTTAAAGCAATAGAGTAAAGTGTGTATTATAACATAATTGAACACTTTTCAAAACTGTTATTAAGCATGTACCTACATATGAATTTGTTCTTCATAGATATTTAACATTTTCTGTTTTAAATCAAATGATATAAAACCTAAGGTACGACTACGAGGAATGATTGCCTGCAGCCAACCTACCCAGTCGTGTGAAGGAAATCCCAGACCAAGGGAAGTCCAATAAAACTAGTTCAGAAATCTGACGGCCTTCGTCGAATATCAACAATACGAGATGTGTATTTGGAAATCACAGACAGAGTGAACAGAACAGAATACCGCTCATTATTAGTGTAGTGCGAACCACGACAGAAAGAAGTGGTACCATGTTAAGTTTTGGTAGATTCGTCACGTGTACTATCGCAGCACTCTCGTGTTTATCACTTGTTTACTGTGAAAAATGTAAGTAAAATGTAGCTGCAGTAGCACGCCCCCCAATGAGCAGTGTTACTTCATTTTTTTTAGATTATGGCATTAGAATAAGTCGAAATTAATAGCTTGTTCATAACGTGTGTAAATTGCTCGGTTTACAAGGCCAAGCGCGTATAAAAAATTAAATGTTATATTAAAATGCTTTAGGTATAAAATCCATGCACTATTGGAGTTAAGGAGATACGAAAAGAATATATGGAAAAAAAGTGTGTCTTATATATATGCCCTTCAAAATTTTATTTTCGCTGTAGGTAGTATTAAAATCTTTGAATTTCTAATCACTCCATATCGTATGGAATTTATTAAAAAAACAATGCACATTAGGGACTAGAGGCAAAAGTTGTCTTCCTGTTACCAATCAAAAATGATTCTTTGTCATTGTATATCTGTAAATTTTCTTTTGCGAACTATAAAAGATACATGTTCATCATTTTTTTTTTATTTATTATAAAAAATACCATAAATAAATATTTTTTACGATCATAGAAAGGTAAAAAATGTAAAGAGCTATATTTCAAAGTTAATTTTCACTAAAAAATATATATAAAAGAAACAAGCCCATAGGATACGGTCTTTAATTTGAAACAGTCATTCAAAAATATGGGATAAAAATTGTAAAAGTTACAGTTTCGTGTTGTGTATGTTAAGAAGGAAATTTTCTTATGAAAAATCCATTTTCATAAGAACAAGTTTAACGACCCTTATCTATGGGCCTCTTGTATCATGTGTCTCAATTAGGATAATCTAATATTTACAGGAATTTTATTTATATTTTCATTGGTATATTAATCTAATCATTATTCTGTGTATTGTTATTTTACTCTTATCAGGATAATGTTTTGGAAAACATCCTATTATTATTTAAAAATTATTACCTTTCACAGTTTGGTTTTGGGCTTTCTTTTAGAAAGGTACATCTCTACGAGTATAAAGTAGATAATATGCTTTATTACAAATTAATATGCGTATTTAAAAAAGGGAAAGCCAAAATTTATTAACATAATAAATACATTAAATTAAATCTTTATCAAATAATTGTTATGTAATTTACTGACCTTATAGAGTGACTTAAACAACTATGAATATACGCCCGATGACGTAGATATAATATATGTTGTTGATATTTGTACAACTTCAAATTGCAGATACGAAGACACATTGTATTGATCTTTATTCTTACTCTTATTCCATCATTACCTACTTATGTAGGATATATTTTTAATTGTTTTAAAATTTTTATTTTTGTCTTCGTCTAGACTAGGGGTAGTTTATACCTACCCCCACTTCGTACCGTTGTTGGAAGTAAAACTTTCCACCGCGCACCAATTGCTTAAATCGAAGAAAAAAAAATTAAAAACGCCCTACCGCCCAGCATAAAAGCTTGAGTCGCCCATTAGTGGTCGGTAGAGGCCAGGTTGACTACCCCTGATTGGACCCAGAATTTAAGGGTTAATTCTCATTCTCTACGACAATGACTTTCATAGTAGTTTCTGATAGCTATCAACATCCAATTTTATATATATTTTTTGCTGATATATCTACAGTTTACAAAAAAAATAATCCAGTGGAACATCTCTTTTCATATCTTAATAATGATACGTCTATTTCTTTTGTTTCTTGGAAAATGTATGTTTCAACACTATAGCATGAAAAAATTATGATAATTGAAAAAATTGTTACTTAAAAATGGACACGACAGTAAAAATTGAAAAATGTATTGTAACAATTACACAACCACACAAAAAAATAAAGTTCCAAATTCAAGACACCCACATATCATTTCCGAAGAAATATGACATGCTGAACACGATCCTTTAGTCAAAACTCATAACTTGTCGATGAATTTCGAAGAAAAGTGAAATTTTTTGGTGAAAACGCTATAACATGGGTCAAAACTGATTTTTTCCTAAATTTTGTCCAATTTTCTTAGTATTTTAGGGCGCTGAACACGATACCATTGGTAAAATTTACCCATGACCACTATATTTGTCAGAAAATCCACTAGTTGGGTGAAAAACCGGCCCACATATGGATCAAAATTGATTTGTTCTCAAATTTTGTCTAAATATATCACCTTCGTAGTATTTTTAGGTGCTAAATACGATGTCATTAGTAAAATTTATATCTGATCTCAATATTTCTCAGAAAATTCAAAATTACTGCTATTTACCCGAAAATTAAAAAAGTAATTACCATCTACTAATTTATTAATATGATCTTTAATATGTTCGTATTACTTGTCATCTGCAATGAAATGATATATTAAAGAATTAAGAAGGCGGTGTACAGTAATTTTGTTTTATCATTAAATTTGTTTTTAATGCAGTTGTAATAAAAATCATGCACAATTGTTTTCGAAATATTTATTATACTAAATCCTACATATATAGATTTATTAAATGTATTATGTTTAATCGTTTCATTTCAATTATATCTTTATCAAAAACTGTGATGTGAATTGTGAAAATGGTTGCATCACAGACAATATAGCTTATCTCAGTTGCATCATCTACCTGACGATCTTAGTGACTAACTTTTCGTTACCTCAAAAAACTACGAAAATGATATATTTGGACAAAATTTAGGAGAAAATCAGTTTTGACCCATATTTGGGCGTTTTCACCAAAAAACTTCACTTTTCTCCGAAAATCGACAAGTCATGAATTTTGACTACAGGATCTTGTTCAGCGCATTCATTAAAGGATCATGTCAAAAAAAGCTGTGTTGTTCGTCTTCTGATTTTGATAATGTTTTTAAACATTGAAAATGACTAGACCTATAATGAGTTGTAGGTACTCGCATAGTAAGAAAAAAACTGTACAAAACAGACTATTTATTGTTTTATTATACTACATACTTAACGTCACACATAAATAGCTATAAATATACAAGGTGATTCATTAACAATGGGAAAGTCGAAAGCTGAAGATACTACACGTGAAATGGTGACCATTGGCGCAAACATGCCTTATCCGAAAGTTGATAGTTTCGGAAATACAGGGTGTTGAAAGTTAAAATTCTAAATAGTTTTTTTGCAATTATTCTGAAAATGAGTAGGTTAGGAACTTGAAAATTTGTGAAACTATATTTTTTTAGGCGACGAATAAGATGCGTGTTTTAAATTCAGCGTTGCTCATAGAGGGCGCCACTTACGACCAATTTTACCGAAAATCATTTGGGTATCTCGATCCGTTTTCGAGAAAAATCGATTTAACGAACACTATGTTTTGATAATACGAGAAATTAAAAGCGAAACAAACCAAGTGTCTCTTCGTGTTATTACAACAATTAACAATAAAACAAATGAAATTCATAATAATGATTTAAAGTCAGTGTTCGAAGAATACACCGTTGACATTTACACACATTACACAACGTTTTCTGAGACATCTTCGAGTTTGAAACAACATATTGGGATTGCGTTTGACTTCGTTGGCAGCGATTTGTATTCTTTGCCACAACTCTTCAAACGAACCAATAAATTCTTCCAAATAGAAAAATGAAGAGGATTGAAGTCCGGACTTCTGGGTGGCCAAGCGAAAATGCTTCCACGGCTTGAAGAAGTTCTACTTTATTTAAGAAGAGACATGTTCGACGGAGCTCCACCGCATTTTTCTTGGCCAGTGCGTGCATATATAGATGCAGTTTTTCCAAATCGCTGGATTGGCCATGTAAGCATTTTTGCTTGGCCATCCAGAAGTCCGGACTTCAATCCTTTTGATTTTTATATTTGGTCTCGAATGAAAGATATAGTTTACAAAGAATCTATTGGCTCGTGTGAAGAGTTGTGGCAAGGAATACAAATCGCTGCCAACGAAGTCAAACGCAATCCCAATATGTACGGTGCATTCTTCGAACAATTACTTTAAATTATAATTACGTATTTTATTTGTTTTATTGTTAATTGTTGTAATAACACGAAGAAACACTTGATTTCTTTCGCTTTTAATTTCTCATATTATCAGAACATAGTGTTCGTTAAATCGATTTTTCTCGAAAACGGATCGAGATACCGAAATGAAACAAGAGTACATAATTAATGGAAAAATGATAGCTCTTTCAGGTTTTGAATCATGTTTCATGTTAAATAAACAGGGTAAAAAGTTATTAACTAAATTTTCGGTAAAATTGGTCGTAAGTGGCGCCCTCTATGAGCAATGCTGAAATTAAAACACATATCTTATTTGTCGTCTAAAAAAATATAGTTTTACAAATTTTCAAGTTCCTAACCTACATATTTTCAGAATAATCGCAAAAAAAAACAATTTAAAATTTTAACTTTCAGCACCCTGAATTTTCGAAACTATCAACTTTCGGATAAGGCATGTTTGCGCCAATGGTCACCATTTCACGTGTAGTATTTTCAGCTTTCGACTTTCCCATTGTTAATGAATCACCCTGTATACTATAATCAATTTAATACATGTTTAATAGTAATTTTTTGAGATTTAGAGGGAATGATTAGTATGTCAAATGATAATAAATCAGTCAATTACATTTTTCATTATTTTTGTTAAACTGGAAACTTGGACCAATTTTGATACCGATATTGCTGATTTAGATGAAGACGATTGTCAATAGGTCATCCTCAAGTCTATGTCCTCGTAGGGAGCCAGAATTGACCATAAGTCCGTTAGAATTTTTTGTTAGTTAGCTTTAGGTGTTGAATTAAGAGGGACTCTGTATAAAACCATGAAATAACTACATTTTTACACAGTGTCCTGAAATTAACTTGTAATATTTTGTCAGTGTTCTCCTGATGAAAGTTATTTTTCTAGATATCTCTTATACCATTCAGGATAAAACAATAAAATTTGAAACTGGGCATTATTATTATGACGGTTTTCCACTAAACGGACAGTTTAGACAACGGACAGTTTGTGTTTTCTAGAACCTGAAAAACAAAAACAAAACTGAAACAAACCCAAAACTCTTGTTACCATCAAGTGGGCTACATTTTGTTTTTGTTTTCGGTCCTTTTCCACTGGTTGTCGCGAGGAAGTCAGACAACATGTTTAGAGAAGATTTTTTTATTCTTAGTTATGGCTGGTTTATACTGAAGTCCTTGGAAAAAAAGTAAGTGTATATATGTACGGTTAAAGTGTTTACTTGGTTAGTTAGTTAGTTTGTATGCTAGCCAAGTAAACACCTTAACCGTACAAATATATATTTTTTAATAGCTATAATTCATTAATGATTAAAATATTGTTTTTGAGAAGAAGAAAACGATAACTTAGATATTGGGTTGGATCACTGAAATAGAAAACACAACACGACCGTTTCCACTAAACAGGCTTGAGTTTCAAAACACGTCAAAACCTTTTGATGTGACCGCTTTCGAGCGGGACCCAAAAAACAAAACTCTAACTCGTAAAACATGCCAGTCTTCAAAAAGTTTACGAAAAGCTACAGTTCTGTTTTATTCGACACAAGTTCGTGTTTTGTGTTTGTTTTGTCCGTTTAGTGGAAAACCGCTTTTAGATTTTGAATCTAATGGTCAAAATATAATAACTTTAGCCAAGTTTTGGAAAAATTTTGTTATAACTGTTGTGTATATTGTTTTCTCTTGATTTAAGCGTATACCATTTTAGGGAACACTTTTTGGGGGTAAAATTGAATAAGAACTATTCAACGTGCCACAAAATTGTCTGTTAAAATTGTCTGCCAAATTATAAATATTGCAATTCATGAAAAAGAGGAGTATCGACTAAATAGAAATATTATTCGAACATTTAATGAATTTATAGGCAAAATTTTTTAATAAGAAGAGTCATTTAGCGTAACGAAAAATATATGAAAAACTACAGCATTTAAAAAACAAGGAAAAACTGCTGTTTACAAAATGTGTCTAAAAGAAAACCCAATAAAACAAGAGTCTAAGAAGACAAACGCAAAACCTGGTACCACACATGCGGTATTCACCGAATACTGACTAACGTGCCAGTGAATTAGCAATACCTCGTATTACTAGGTATGTTAAAGTTAAATCTGTAAAATAAATGTTATTTAAGTACACGTCATTTTCTTTAAAATATCCACATATTTTTAATTGCTAATTTTGTTTTAACTACATGCAGCTGCTATCTCGTTTGACGAAATAAGTTACACCACCACAACACACAATCCCATCAGAATTTCATGAAATGGTTAATTAACGTTAGCATGTGATATTCCACCTTGCATGCATCAAAAGAATTAAAAAGACTAGTAATAATAAATTACAAATTACTAGCGTTATTTAAAATAGACAACAGGAGACACTGTAGTCCGAAGGAATAACCTTGGTACTAGTTTTTAGTCCACACTCCATAATGTCAGTAGGTGAAAGAAATATTTTGTTTATAGGTATTTTTGCTAATTATAGTGTTTTATTATTCGCAAAAACTAAATTTAGAAATGATTAAGATGAACTTCGGGTTGTGGTTTTTTGGCGTACTCATGTTATTCATCGATGCTGATTATTTATCTTCATGTAAATATTTCCAGAAACGTAATTTTTATTACACCACCACTGGATATCCCATCCTAGCTCTGAATTATTTAAATATTATAGAGATATTCTACATCACACATATCGAAAATTATGACACCAGTTTGATGAAATTGTTTAGAATATAAAAAAAACTGTATACTATCGTAATATTAACCCTATTTTTATAGAACAATATTTTCGGGAAATTGTAGCGCCTTAAAAAATAGAGAGATGTCAGCTTAGATTTATTTATTTATTTATTTAGGAAAGGCATGTGTTCATTAAAAATAAAACTTATGCTTGTAATATTTTCAATTTTTTTCATTCAACTGCTTTAAGGATTTTTGAACGCTAGGAAAGAAAATGTACATATCTAAAATTTGGGCTATGGCAAGCGTCTGTCATTTCCTATTTACCAATTTCAATTGTTGGAGTTCATTTCAGGATCTTAGAATTCATTCCCTAGTTGAGCAAATCCCCCTATTTTTATCCCATTAGAGTCACAAACATTTTCATTCACCTTAAACCTTAATTGCTAATTTACATTGTTAAAAACTTAATCGTGTTCTGTTAGAGCTATAATAATAAAACTATACGAAATATAAGTATACTAAATCCTCAATTCAAACATCAATCAATCAGTCAAAATCTAATTATTAAGTTATAAATTGTGATGTCATATTTCGGAATATGCTGAATTAATTACTGTATACTAATGTGTGAAAATGTAAATACCCGCTATTACTTTTATTTGCTTCCATTGCAGGATGAATCATTAACCATTTTGTACATAGAGATTAATTAGATTGATACGTAGCTAGGTACGTGATAATTACGATATGATGTAAGGGGAAACTGTTACTGTGTATTCTTCTTTCCCAGTTTGAACTTTTGAAGCATGGTATATCTGATAAACCCATAAACAACTTTTGTACGCGAGTGGTTCCATTCTTAATGGGTCACCCTGTATAACAGAACGTTATTTTTTTATTTAGTCTATACTGTCCCACTGCTCGAAAAAGGACTCCCCCCAATTCTCAATTTTCTTATGAATATAAGGGTTATTTTATGTACTTTTAGTCGTTTTATTTTCTTTAACCCCCCGCTGGCTACGCCCGTGGTTGTAAGTAACTATTTAAACTTAACTTCAGTTTTTAGATAAAAGCAAATATCTGTATTAGTTTACAGTTTTCAACGGTATCAGTCGATTTACAGGGTTCTACAATATCAAAACAAGCATTTAGAAAGTTATAACTAATGAGAATGTATAATAACTATTGTAATCTGCCGTAATATTTATTAATGTTTCCTATAACTGTGTGATTTTTAAATAATTAACATCCAAATATTTGAAATTTTTGTTTATCTAGGTACCATACAGGGTGTAACAGCAATACATTCAATAAAAAACATTATACAGGATATAAATTGTCCATTGACGAACAATTTTTCTTTATTTTTCAGATAAATTCTGTATGGTTGATGGCAAGGGAGGTTATATGAAGTCAGGTCGCTATTGTCCAAATTTGGATATTGCAGAGAGCAAAGTAGAATGTGTTGTGGCTCTGGACAGGTACATTAATTTTCATAATCATTTATTTTCACATTGAGAATAAAAAATTAATAACATCATATTGAAAATCTAAATAACAACAAATAACAAAAAAGTAACTCATAAATACATACAGGGTGTCCCAGAATAACGTATACAACGGAAGATCACAGATTCGTGGACTCAAAATAGGCAGATTTAGGCTAATTCACCTATATCCAAAATCGCTTCGTTTGGCAGCTAGATGGCCTCAAAGTTTGTGAAAATTTTTTGAATTTTGTAAATAACTCGAATACGTATTATTCGATTTTGATTATTTTTGGGGTGTGGACTTTTGTTTTCAATCTACACATTTTGGTGTTATACAGAGTGTTTTTTAAAACTTACAACTCCTACAAAATTGATGTATGGTGATAATATCTGTTCATACCTTTTTCCTCTTTCGGGCAATAATAACAACTATTTTTTATTTGACAGGTGATACCATTTGGAAGTTTTTGGGCCTCTTGTAAAATTTTTTCTTAAATGAGCGGTTTGGGTACAAAAAAAGTATTTTTTAAATGACATTATCTTGCCACCCATATTTAAGTGCTAGTAGGCTCTGATTTTGTATGTTAACTATAATTTCAGTTTGCTCTTATTTAGGATAGCATTATTATTGGCTCTATTATTCTACGCAATAGACTGGAATTTTATTCAGAATTTCTGCAAAACCTGAGTTATTGGAAGATGTGCCGTTATTAGCCACAGCTAACATGTGGCTTATGCATGATGGCGCCCCACCACATTTCACTGTAAATGTTCAGCAGTATCTGAACCAAAGATTCACTTGTCGATGGATCGATAGAGGGGATAATTTCCAGTTAATTGGCTTGTATGTTCACTAGACTTAACACCTTCCGACTATTATCTTTGGGGCACTTTGAAAACAACAGTGCATGATTCAACATCTAACACAGAACTGAGTTGTGGAGACATATCCAAAATACCATAAATGTTTTTAAAAATAGCCCTTAAGAATTGCAAACAACGGTGGTCATTTTGCACAGTTTTTATAATAAGTTGTACTAAATTTAATAACCTTAACTTTGTTAGTTTTATCTCCAGCATTTTTTATTGTATTTGATTGTTTTTACGAATTATTTTAATAAAATTAAGCATGTAAATAACTCTTAATTTGTCGTATGTGTGTATCCATATCGAAAAATGAAGTAACCTATGGTATATCTTATCGTAGCAGAGGGTCATTATAGAATTTTCAAAAGAATGACTTAAAGATCAATCTGAAATTACAGTCAACCTACAAAATCAGTGCGTACTAGCACTTTATTAAGTGTTGTAATATGGGTGTAAAGATAATGTAGACATTTAAAAAATATTTTTTTGTACCCAAACCGCTCATTTAATAAAAATTCTGTAAGCGGTCCAAACACTTCCAAATGGTATAATCTATCAAATAAAAAATAGTTGTCATTATTGCCTGAAAGAGGAAAAAGTTATGAACGGATATTATAACTAGGTATACATCAATTTTGTAGGAGTTGTGAGTTTTAAAAAACACTCTGTATAACATCAAAATTTGTAGATTGAAAGCAAAATCCACTCGCCAAAAATAATCAATATCGATTAATACCTACATAATCGAGTTATTTACAAAATTTAAAAAAAATTCTAACTTTGAAACGATCCACAGTGCGGCAGAATCCCAAAACGGTGGCCAAAAGTCAAAATCTTTAAAAATCGATCTGTAATTTGTTACTCTGGGGTTTTTGGGGTCGCTGATAACGAATTTGGAGTCAGAATTACAAAATTCAATGTGGAGGATTTAATATAGCCATATCAGAAGTAAAAATATTTTTAAAATAGGGATTAAGAATTAAAAGATTATGAAATACAAAATGTCACATTTATCAAGAATGAAAAATATGTAAAAATGACAAATGACATATTAGACTATTTATATATTTCATTAAATATGTATCGAGAGTGATTTATTTGAATCCCGTGCCAAAGTTGTAATATAAAATTCCAGTTTTTTCATAAAAGAAAAGAATCATCATCTGATGAAAAATCTTCTTAAGTTGAGACAATTTCGTCTTTATTTGCAATCTTCCCATGTCTTACATCGTCCAGAGAAGGCGAAATTCATTTTACTCTACATTTTACAAAAACCTATACAAAAAGTTGTTAGGCACTTATAGGCAGCTGATTTTTTTTTTAGTTTACAGATAATAGTTTTGTCTTTTTTGTCCAATAAGTTAAATGACAGAATTCTGCAGAATTATTAAACTTTTTTCTTCAAAACTAAATTATTATTTCATTTTATAACGTAAAATTCACATAAGTTTGGTAGCCAATTACTATTTTTTGTAAAAATATTGAGTATTTTAACCTACATATTCATAATCTACGTACATTTATGAGTTGATTCCATTTTGTTAGAGATAAATCGGTGAACTCTACGAAATTTTATAACCATTTAAACACAACTATTACTTCTGTTCCTACGCGCGAGCAAGATGTTGCTCGAGCAGCGGTCGCCTTTGTAATGATTTAAAAAACAGGTATAGGGAATTTATCCTAATAGTAATGGATTCTGAGACTTGGGATATTACTCTAGCCAATCCAGCAGTAAAAATTACGGAATTAGAATCTTAATTTTTTGACTTTTGGCCAGCTTTTTGGGATTCTGCCCCACTGTGCGATCTAGCGACCAAACGAAGCGATTTCGGATATAGGTGAATTAGCCTAAATCTGCCTGTTTCGAGTCCACGAATCTGTGGCCTTCCGCTGTACACGTTATTCTGGGACACCCTGTATAAGTATTAATTTAAATTACACAAGCATTAAATGTCAGTAAACAGGATATTATACCAACAAACACTGAAATTCTGTCTACTTTTTTAATATATACAATATGAAAACAAAAACAAGTAAAGATGATTTATTTATTTACAAATTTCGTCGAAATATTTCATTTAATTTTTTTTCTAGCGATATTTCATTTTTAAATTTAAAATACAAGTGAAAATATTCCTTACAATGTTAAGAACACATAAAATATATCTACAGTAGGTAATTCAATTGCAGTTACCTTAAAACACGTAGTAATAAAGCCAAAGTCATAAATATATTCGCGTGTGGATATTATATTTGTGATAAGATTGTAGTGATCACATTGTTCGTATACGGAATAAAAAAACAACTTATTTTAGCAGTCTGTTCAAATATTAGTAGTTTTGTTCCGTTGAATAGACAATTTTGGGCCGTTTGTCACTTAAACTCTTGTACTATTTAAAAACAAATGAAATTGTAACTGCCACGTAGAGAGAGCTAACATTAGGGATGAAATTTTTATACCAGCGTACGTTGATCAAATCAATTCAAAACATATTGTAACGATAAAAGATAAGGGTTACTCTGCGACTACATCCATCTTTATTTGTTTACGTTTTCATTAACATTTTGCAAATAATTACAGAAAAAAAACACGCAAAAAATAATCAAAGCTTCCTCTTATCTGTACGTACTTATTGTTTTTCATTCACATATTGTAAATCCAAAGTTTACCGTATATTAACCGTGTAAAAATAAACTGCCATTTTTACTAGGAAAACCATTAAACCGTGCAAATGATCATCAGTAATACAAAGCCTTTTTCAGTGACAATACAATTTTACGCATTATTACCATTAAATCTCTGCCTATTAACGAAATCTGATCAATAAAAGTAACGTTCTACATATATTATATAACAATAACTAGTATCTACCAGGTGTTTTTAATTACTACACTTTAATAGAACACGTAACTAAAATTCTTAGATTTATTTTACATAATTTAAAAAACATTATAATATCTGAATAACTTCAGAACCATCGAAACAAGTAATATTTTGACTTCAGCCTCTGCAAAACTATTACAAAAATATTCAGGGGTTAACTTAGATATTCGGCCAAACTTTAATAGCAGATTCTATGCCACGAATTAACAAACAAGTTTATGTAAACGTATGTACAGACTTCGACTTCTATACAGGGAAGTCAGTAAAGAAAGGGCTATACTTTAAAGTTTATTGTAAATGTAAACATTACATTCGTATGCAGTAAAATTGGCTTTCCTTGTACAATACGTAATCCAACCGAAATATTTTTTCAAGTCTGTTCAGCAGATTAAGGGAAACTGGAAATTTTTAAGCCCAAAGGGACCTTATGTGCGACTTGTGGTACGAACTGTTGAACGGGAAGAAGCGATATTAAATCTTGTTGAAGATGATTCAACAACAAGTATCCGCCATATGTCTGCCAATGTAGAATGAAATCAGAGTACTGTGTTCAACAATTATTACACCCGTACCATGTTATTCCACTCCAAAACTTACTGCCGGTTCTTAAATAAAAATACACAAAATACCACTCTGTAAGAAAAATTCTATTAATTGATTAGGCAACATTTACGAGAAGAGAAATTTTCATCCACAAAAATTGTCGCACATGAATTGACGAAAATTCAAACAATCCGAAGTGCCTCACTTTCAACATGAATTTAAATTAAACTTCTGAGTCAGTATAGTCACCTTGTAGCACTTTTTGATCTTCCAGCAATGAACCAAATTACTTAAACTTTCTCCAACATAATTTATTCGATATGATAGAGATGTTCCTCTAAATATTGGGGCTCTTGTAATTACAAGATGGCGATCCTGCCCATTATGCCGTAGCAATACCTTTAATAACACAGCCACACACAAAAAAAAAGTTGGGTATACTTTTTATGCGACATATTTTTTCGTAGTAATGTGGCCTCCTGAACACGAATCTGGGGCCAGAATTAATTAACTAACTAACCTAACCTAACCTCAAAAAACCGAGCAGGAATCGCTATTTTCAAATTCTGAGCGAATTTTGACCAGATTTTGTAGAAAGGGGTTTTTTGGGTCGCTGATTACGAATATGAATTCACATTGTAAAAATTCAAGATGGCTGATCCAATATGGCGGGTGTACTTTTTTGAAATCCACCGATTTCAGTAAAATTTGGCATCATAAGGATTGCTGGTTGATCTCACCTTCATTAATCACACATCTGGAGCCAGATTTTCATAAATCAAGGTAAAAGATTCCACTCCGTCTAAAAATGTGACTTCGCTTAAAAAAATGACTTAAGGACTCTACACATGTAATGATGTGTAGTGTGATGTGCTTGTTTCCATGGGACAAGACAAAAAAGTTTCTACTTTATTCTTTCATTTATTTAGTCGTGCATGGGCTTATGGTTTTCCAATCAGATTTTTTTAACTACTATGCAGTTTTCCTATGGCATTTAGATGCTTTTATTTCTTAATAATTTTAAAGTTCAAGGAAAAGGACACATTACTGCCACACAGCACATCACTGCATCTGCTTATGCCTTCAATCTAAAAATGTGACTTTGCCGAAAAAATGCCGCCTACTCGGCCTAAAATTATGACTCTGCCTACAAATTTTACCTTGATTTATGAAAATCTGGCTCCAGATGTGTGATTAATGAAGGTGAGATCAACCAGCAATCCTTATGATGCCAAATTTTACTGAAATCGGTGGATTTCAAAAAAGTACACCCGCCATATTGGATCAGCCATCTTGAATTTTTACAATGTGAATTCATATTCGTAATCAGCGACCCAAAAAACCCCTTTATACAAAATCTGGTCAAAATCCGCTCAGAATTTGAAAATAGCGATTCCTGCTCGGTTTTTTGAGGTTAGAAAAAAAACCACACGTTCTAGCTCAATTCTGACAGTGGATTTGAATTCAGCAGAGTCTTTTACATAAAAATGTACTATTTGATGTGGAAATAAATTTTTTTCCAAATTTTCCCAGTAAATTTTCATCAATTTTTACTATTTTTCACAAGTTTTTTGAGGTTAGGAAAAAATTGTGACGTGATGGGCCAATTCTGACCCCAGATTCGTGTTCAGGAGGTCAAATTACTACGAAAAATATAAGTCGCATAAAAAGTATACCCAACTATTTTTTTGTGTGTGGCTGTGAAATCGATTCCCCCATCAATGAGGACGAGAAAGTGAACGCCTATGGCCTCCACGAATTCGAGATTTGAATCCTCTGGAGTTCTATTTCTGGTCCTACTGTTAATACTAGAAATGAATTGTAGCAAAAAGTAGTGGCAGCAGCAAATGATATTAAACCTCGTATTAAACATATCCATCCGATATTCTTCACAGTTAGAAATGTCGAAAACGCATTGAAGCAAATGGAGAATATTTCGAAATTCAAATTTAAAATAAAGGTTTTGCTTTTGATATTGGTGTTAATTTTTCTTTTTTTTTTTGTTTTCACTTATTCAATACTAACTGTAATAACTTTTTTAATTAATCATTTCTTATATTTTATGTATTTCTTTTTTAAACTTAGCAAATACTTTAAACATGTAACAAATACACCTTTTTAAAGTAACACGAACGCTGTTTTTAAATTATCACTTTCTAAAAATTTCTATTAATAAAGATTTGAAAGAAATAATATAGGGACACAAGCGCTCAGAACGTCCCTTACAGTTAACGAAAAAAACAAGCAGATATTCATATTTATCACACAAAGAAAACTCTTTTCCAAAATTTTAACACCCAAAAATTATCTTAAATTAAATAAAAGGAATAGTCGATAACTTCATAAAGAAGTAACATTGTAGGTTGACATAAATCGCCTTAATTTCGCCCAAGGAAGTTAACCTTATAGTATGGCCTATTCTTTACTGAACACACTGTATATAGAGTCTTAAAAATAAATCAAAATTTTGGTTTATTTGTTTATATCTCAAAAAGTTAGTGCTTCATGGTTATAGAAACATTTTTGTTGATGTGTGAAAAATCCATTAAACATTAAAATTTGGCTAAGTATTCAAGTATTTCAGTTACACTCGGTATTTTACAAACATCTGAAGTCATATGGATATACAGGAAATGTTATATTTTCTTTAATTTTGTCAAAAAGAAGAGAAAGAAATGAAAGCTAAAATTCTTTTTCAGGCTGGATTGTTTAAGGCGGCTCTCAAAGGGCACAGCGGATTTTTCAGTATTTACAGCAGAGGATCTGGTTACAGCTCAAAATTCTAAAATAGAAGTATTAGTTACAAACGAACTGCGTTACAACGCCAAAGGTAAGTTTATCGACAAACCACAAACATTCTCTAATTTAAGTTCGCAAACCACAAGAATTAAAAGAAACGGTTCTCTTAATTGAAATCTAAGGACACATAATTCTACGTACTTATAAAAATAAATAGTTAGCCAGTAGCAGAAATGCATTTATGAAATGTTAGTTATGTGTCGTATTTGGTACATTAATATCATGATACATGTCAATTTTAAAACTTTCTTTTTACTATCACTTGTCTATAAAAATTGTAAAATAATTACTAAGGATAGACGTATAAACTGTAATGCTTATTCTGTTGAAAGTAGAAGTCAATGATATCCTTCGTTTCAACATCGATTCTTAAAAATGAACCATTGTTATTCAATGTAAGTACATTCTTTTATTTCATCATTAGATTGTCGGGGATAGATTAATATTGTACACACAGCTAATAGTTTGTTCAATAAAGTAATTTGTGATAATCTGTCATTTCAAACTACGGTTAACTTATTATTATATTATTATTATTGTACAGAGTGTCCGCATAAGAGCTGACACAGGGCAGGTGCATGCAGGGTTGTCCAAAATATTGTAATTTAACCAAACTTACCTATATACAAAGTTACACCTCTGAGGAGTTATTAGTCCCCAAAGTGGGTCTCTAAATTTTGAAAAAATTAATATCTCTGCAACACTTTACCGCAGAACTTAATTCGGTAAATGATTTAGGTTTGTCTTCTTTGACTATGATTTAAAGTTAATTGAAGCACTACAAATGTTCATTGGGGAGGACCCACCCCTAAAATTGTACCGAACTTTTATTTCATTGACCGAATTGATAAATAATAACATTAATTCACAGCAGAATTTAATTTTAAAATTTTTTTTACTCTTGTTAAATTTTAAAAAACTTTATGGTTTTCAAGAATAACCGTATTAACTGACACAATATTTTAACAGTGTTTATTAGAAAATAATCGAAAAATCAGTAGTTGGCTTTATCTTTCAAATTTGACAATTGGCCAAATAAATTTTACTTTACTTTTCCTAATTCTCAAAAAGAAAAAAAATATCTAGGTAGTTTTTAAATAAGCGAATATTATATTAAGTAAAAAACACAAATAAATAATAAAAATAATAATTGAAAGCATCGGGATAGACACAATTATTTTAAAGAATGTTAAGTATAATACAATGCAATTTGAAAAAATATGTAATAATAATAATTAAAACTAAAGGAATTGTTCAAAATGGGCACCATTTTCCTTGATACATAAATTTATTCTTCGCGGAAAATTGAAGTTTACTCTGTCTAACAAATGATGATCGTTTCTTATAAGGTTACATTTATTTGTAATACGATTCCACAAATTTTCTCGGGATTCAACTGGCAAAGAATAAACAAAATCCTTCAGTGTTCCTCAAAGGAAATAATCACATTTGTTGAGGTCTGGTGATCGTGGTGACCAATTTTGAGGACAATTATTTCCTCGTCCTATCCATTTATTTGGAAACTTAAGGTTCAAAAAATCTCTAACAGTAGTGCTCCATCATGCATAAACCAAAGCTCCAGTCTAAGTTGCAACGGTAAATCTTCCATTAGATCAGGGAGGGTATTTTGCAAAAATTCCAAAACACTTTAGGCGATTTGGCAAAATAACTGGTCCAATCAAATAACGATCAATAATACCGGCCCAAATATTTATCTTAAACTCGCGTTGAAAATGTGGAGGAGTCATTGCATAAGGGTTTACATCGGAATATTCATGAAAATTGTGAACATTTGTAATTCCTCGTCGAGTAAAACAAGCCTCATCAGTAAAAAGAATTTTCTTGTGAAAACAACAAACTCATAAAACGTCACTCGTCGATCCAAATCTTGAGGCAACAACTCTTGTACTTTTTGGACACGATATGGATGCAGTAGATCACATTTAAGAATTCGGTTTACAGAACTTCTTGATAACCCAGTCTGTCGAGATAATCGTCTAGTACTTAGGTACTTGGGGTTCATCTTAATTGTTTGCAAAATAATTTCTTCATCTTGCACCTCTACCTCTATTACATTAGGACGTTCTCGGATGTTGCTGAAAAACTTTCCTGTCTCTTGAGCTCGTCTTTCAACAATAGAAAATGTTTCTCTACGAGGAACCACACGATTAGGAAAATCTCCTACGATATTCTTCCACACTGCATTTTCCTTCGCAGCAACCCAGTACAAGAAGTATATCAACTTGTTCGCTAAATGTAAATTTTCCAGCCATTTTCAACAACAATCAGAGACAATTGTTGAAATAAAATAATTTTATTATTAACTGACAAGTTTGAAAGATAAATTCATTGCCTACTACTGACTTTTTTATTATTATATGATATTGTTAAAATCTTGTCAGTTGGTTTTTCTTGAAAACATTAAAGTCTTTTGAAATTTAACAAGAGTAAAAAAACATTAAAATTAAATTCTGCTATGAATTACTATTATTATTTTTCAATTCGGTCAATGAAAAAAAAGTTCTGAACAATTTTAGGGGTGAGTCATCCCCAATGAACACTTTGTAGTGCTTCAATTAACTTTAAAAAAGACCAGTAATAAATCTAAATCATGTACCAAATTTGGTACATGCTACATGCACCTGTGTCGGTTCTTAAGCGGGACACCCTGTATTATTATAATAAATTTGAAGAATTAAAAAAAATCTTTATAATATTTATTTTACAGTTCATCAAATGTATTTATCTTTATCCTACATTCAAAACAACTAGATTTTATAACATTAGCATCTAATTAACTTCAATTTTAGATAATTACGAGTATGAAGTTGTGGCAGTAGTCAATAATAATGCCGGAATTAAAAGTAAACACGATCTAAAGGGAAAGAGATTTTGTCATCCTGGTTATGGCTACGAAACAGACTGGACAAGGATTTTAGCAAATGTAAGTAGACAGAACGCATTGTTTATTTAAAAAGTTGATAAATTTTCCATAATTCATCGCATTTATCAGTAATTTATTTGTTTATCAAAATACAGTATACTGTTTTTATATCTTCTTTCCATATTTGTTCGGATATAATTCCATACGCCTGTTTTTAAATGAAAGTCTTATCAATAATATAAACGTCACGAAAGTAAAATATGGTAATTTAGAAAAATGTTTAATTTATATCTGTTGCAGTACAAGAATATCTGAAAAACTAACAGCATATTTAAATTTCAATTAGAGGTACAAATGATGTGCATTCCTGACACATTGGCTCTAATTTTCAACGTAGTATCAAATAGTGTACAACGTACAACTTTTAATACACATTATATACAGGGTAGCCCATCGAAAACGTACCGCAAGGCATTACAGGGTAGTAATGAACTTTTCGGCAAAATCCAAAAACAGGTAAAGTTTGCTTCTGAGGGGGACAACGTTTGGCGCAAAAAGCATAGCAAAATCTTCAACCCCCTAAGTGGGGGTGCTATCCCCTAAATTTTTTTAAATGGGAATGGGGTCAAGTGGGGGATCATTAGAAAGGGCTTTTAATTCTCTATACATCGATTCTTACTTTTTGAAAATCGATCCATTATTTTAGAAAATATGCAGCTTTGAAAATACGAACAATATTTTTGACGAGAAATGCGAAAATCGATTTAATTTTACTTCAAAACTTACGGTATTAGCTTGGTAAATTCCTTCAAAAGAATTCGCTGTTTTTTTTTCTGATTTGCGAATTCTTTAGCCTGATTTTGGTGAGCAAAAAATTGTCCGCTTTTTGTTTCGTATTTAGATAGGCCACAAGAAGTTGCTAGATAACTGTCTTGTGACTTGTAGTTGAAGAGTACCAATACTGCCGAGTCTTTTAAATTGATTAATTATGGTGCACTCAATTCCAGAAAGAGTAGAAATTATTGAGCTTTTTTTCAAAAACAATGAATGCGAAAATCGGGTCGCCGAACTGTTCAACCAACGGCATCCTGAGAAACATGCGTCTGGAAAAATTGTTCGCGAATTGGTGGCCAAATTTCGCGAAACTGGCTCCGTTCATAACAAAAAGAGGCAGGTTGAAAATCCGGTACTAAATGAACCTACGAAAATAGCGGTATTGGGGCAAGTGGCAATGGACAGTACGCTGAGTATAATGCAATTGGCTACTGCGACAGGAGTGAGTCGTACAAGTGTCCAACGAATATTAAAAAAATACAAATTCCATCCTTATAAGATTCGGCTAGTGCAAGAGCTAAATGAAGACGATTTTGATCGTCGTTTGCAATTTTGCGAAATAATGACTGAACGAGCGATAAACGATAATTTCCTCTTTAATGTGTGTTTTTCGGACGAGTGTACGTTCTTCTTGAATAGTTTAGTGAATCGCCATAATTGTCGTTACTGGGCTGATACCAATCCAAGGATTTTCCATGAGACACACTCTCAACACCCCCAGAAGTTGAATGTATGGGCAGATATTTTTGGAAATTCCATTGTAGGTCCTTTTTTCCTTCCTGGAAATTTGACAGGCGATATGTACTCGGATTTACTAAAAAATGTCATCGACTCAGCTCTAACAAATATCATAGAGGACGACCCTACTTACAATGAACACGAACTGATTTTCCAGCAAGACGGAGCTCCTCCACATTACTCGCTCAATGTGCGCAATTACCTAAATGAGACGTTTCCAGGACGCTGGATAGGACGAAGAGGTGCAATTGAATGGCCCCCTCGGTCACCCGACTTAAATCCTTTAGATTTCTTTCTCTGGGGGCACATTAAAAGCAAAGTTTACAGCACTCCACCTGATACCTTGGAAGATCTGCGAGGACGAATCATTAATGTATGTCGCGAAGTAACACCGCATCAGAAACAAATTTGACCTGCTTTTGGATTTTGCCGAAAAGTTCTTTACTACCCTGTAATGCCTTGCGGTACGTTTTTGATGGGCTACCCTGTAGGTATCAGAATGAAATATTTTTACTGTGTCTTCAATCAAAAAAACACCACATAATTTGTTACTCTATGTTATTTATTTACTCCATAAACTGTTCCAGTATTTTGAGGCTTCGGTGGTAACACCGTCATGTGATACCGACCTAACAATTACGGAAAATCGCATAAAGGCCACAGCTGAGTTCTTCGAGGCTTCCTGCAAGGCTGGACCATGGGTCAACAATCCTTCTTTAAACATCCAACTGAGTAAGAATTATTTTATAAATAATAATTTCCTCTTATAGTAATTACGTCGTAATATTTAGTAGACGACGTAGAACATGAACTCTTATTTAATAAAGTAGCAGTAGTACCTTGGTTTAAATTTTTTTAAACGTAAATAAAGGAAGTAATTGTCGTACATTACATTTAATTATTAGAGTGCATTACATACTTTTGAAGGACGTCGGAATCAATGATTTCATTTCAGTCGAGACAATGCTTTCAAAAAACAGCTGTATATGTGTGTGGAAATAAGAAATTTTAACAGACTTCACATTGGCCTTTGTAAAACCTTCTTGTCAACATTATGAAAAAAGGAGGAGTATTACAAGGCTAGCCACTAGCGTCTTAAAGTTTAAAGTATACTTAGTTAATGAACATTATCCAGTGTTATTATATCCATTTAAGTTGTAAATTCCGATACACATCAAAAAGTTGTTTAAGTTAATGAAAAATAGTACTTAATAATAATAAATATACAAGGTGTTATTTAAGTACGCTGTCAAACTTCTAGGGGTGATTCTTTGAGTGATTTTAAGGCGAAAAGTATATAAACATAGGTCCGGTAATGCTTTGTTTTCAAGATACAGGGTGTCAAACTTTTTTAAAAAATCGTTTTTTAATAAAATCTTAATAATCCTTTAGCCGATTTTGTTGTAATTTGGCAGTGTTATGTAGTGTAAAAAGGGGCTAATTTAGCCCGAACTAGATTAAAATTATTAAGTCCAGTGACGTCCCGTCTTACAATCACTTAAAGAATCACCACTTGAAATTTGGCCACATACTTAAATAACACACTCTATAAGGGGGCCACTCCTATGGATTTCGCTTAATATACGACGCACGTCAAAAATCTTTATATGTTTTTTGTTGCATTTTTTGAGGCCTTTATGCTCGTAAAAAAATTTGAGATCCATGGCCAACTTTGTGAGTAATCATAAAAGAACCGAAGGTTTGGGGTCGTCTAACTTTTTTATTTTAAGAGATACAGCAAACTTATTTTAATAAAATTTTATTGAAAAATTGATATTGCTGCGGCTTCTATGCGGGCAAAAAAAATTGTCATCGAAGCAGACTGTGGCTACAAAAATTGCTAGTTTCTTCCTCTTTCATGCGATATACTAGGTACATGTTGCCTTTATCTTTTATATTTATTACATTTTTTACAATTTTGGTATAAAAAATGTAAACATTTTTATGTCAACGTTGAAATTGTTATAGACACGTCATCTACAAAAAACATTTAAAAATATAACGTTCTTCTTTTAAGCGAAATACAGATGTTCGTTGCACGTTATTATAAGACTTGTTGGTTTTTTACTTTAAAAACTGAGCCTTAAACATTGTTTTTGCACAGACAAAGTAGCTTAAGCTAAAGAGGTTTTCAGTAAAGGATTGGGATAGAACTCTTGATACCAAAATCATAGGACCTTACCTTACTTCTATGATGGCAAACTGATGGGTGCCGGATATTGCAGATTCTTTGCTTAAAAGAAGTACATTATATTCATTAAATTTTTTGCAGTTGACATGTTTAAAGCAATTTCTACATTAATCTACATTTTTGATACCAAAAGTATAAAAAATGTAATAAATATAAAAGATAAAGGCGACATGTAGTACATAATATGAAAGAGGAAAAAACAAGCAATTTTTTGTATCCACAGTCTGCTTCGATGACATTTTTTTGTCCGTGTAGAGAGAGGGCGTAGTAAATTACATACGATACTTCTAAAATTTATTTACACCAATTTTGTCATGAAATTTTGTTAAAATAAGTTTTCTCTATCTCTTACTTTCGGTACTTTTCTGTTTTTTTTATGGTTACTTATAAAGTTAGCCATGGATCTCAAATTTCTTTTTACAAGCACCAAGGCCTGAAAAAACGCAACTAAAAACATATAAAGATTTTTTACGTGCATCGACGAGATACGTAGGAGTGGCCCTCTTATAGCAGACAGCCTATAGCATACAATAACAAAACAAAATAATATAACTTTCTCGAATTGCAAATCTTAAATCTGTTATAATTTTTAGGTGCAAATGCTTAATGTATTCACTTATTTACCGCTATTTTTTTTTGTTAAATGTGTTTTTGTTTATTAAAATGCTCCCATATACAGTATAAAGATATACTGTATACTGTATACTGTACTATCTCTTTTTAAATTTGTTCATAAAATGTAATTTTTCTGTGATTTTACTTCAGTTATTTTATTATTTGTTTTATTAATTTTTTTCCTAAATATATTGTTCCACGACATATTTAAATTTTTTGCAAATTAATCTATAACTGAAAAAAGTTGCNCATGTTTAAAGCAATTTCTACATTAATCTACATTTTTGATACCAAAAGTATAAAAAATGTAATAAATATAAAAGATAAAGGCGACATGTAGTACATCATATAAAAGAGGAAAAAACAAGCAATTTTTTGTATCCACAGTCTGCTTCGATGACATTTTTTTGTCCGCGTAGAGAGAGGACGTATTACGTACAATACTTCCAAAATTTATTTACACCAATTTTGTCATGAAATTTTGTTAAAATAAGTTTTCTCTATCTTAAAATAAAAAGGTCCTAACTTTCGGTACTTTTCTGTTTTTTTTATGGTTACTTATAATGTTGGCCATGGATCTCAAATTTGTTTTTACAAGCATCAAAAAAACGCAACTAAAAACATATAAAGATTTTTTACGTGCATCGACGAGATACATAGGAGTGGCCCTCTTATAGCAGACAGCCTATAGCATATAATAACAAAACAAAATAATATAATTTTCTCGAATTGCAAATCTTAAATCTGCTATAATTTTTAGGTGCAAATGTTTAATGTATTCACTTATTTACCTCTATTTTTTTTTTGTTAAATGTGTTTTTGTTTATTAAAATGCTCCCATATACAGTATAAAGATATACTGTATACTGTATACTGTACTATCTCTTTTTAAATTTGTTCATAAAATGTAATTTTTCTGTGATTTTACTTCAGTTATTTTATTATTTGTTTTATTAATTTTTTTCCTAAATATATTGTTCCACGACATATTTAAATTTTTTGCAAATTAATCTATAACTGAAAAAAGTTGCGGTAGGCGAAGCCCATGACGTAGAATAACGTCGTGTTATTTGGTTTCGAATAAATAATTTACTAATACAATTTTTCCAAAATTGCTAGCACGTTTAGGATATACTATTTTGAGGAAGTTATGTTTTCTAAATATGTGCCTTTTGGAATCGCTTTAATAAGTTAATAACAAATAATTAAATTTCATTTCTTTTCAATTAATATATTAATGGCCTGTACCTGCATATAAATCCAAATACAGAGAGTATTTGTGTATTAAATTAAATGTATTTCAAGTTCAAGTTAATAGATTTTATCGTCTACAACAATCAGATCGTCTTTGAATTTTCGCTTCCTTTTCGAAAACATAGACAGATCTTATATCAACTCTAGGCATAAAAACATATAAAACGCATTAATTTAAAACAATGATTATTATAGCGATTTATCAAGCGTGAAGACAGGAGTTTAAGTATATTTTTCTCTTATAATTATTATTAAACATTTCCTGTCGGTTGTAAATACTTAAATTCACGCATGTTTACATTGTTTGTTTACATGACGGTAAATAATAGATAATCGCATATCATATTCTAAAGAAAAATTAAGTTTCATTGATTTATTTTGAATATGTAAGACACAGATTTTATTTTGATAAATAAATATGCAATTTTTTGGTCGTTCTAGTACAAGAGAGAATACTAAAGTCAAAGCCACTCCTTCTAGCTGTATTTACAATATTATTACCAATATTTCAGATGAAAATTCAATGTTGATATTTTTAAACCATGTCTGTCTGATCGCCACGCACATCATAATTCGTTAATACGTTAATGTTGTTTGCAATGAAAATATCAATAATAATGACCAACCAATTTATATGAGACAATATTTATATAATACTAACTGGAATGTCTTTTGCAATCAAAATTTTGACATGCATTCCTAATAAATTAAACGATTCAGATAATTTGCAGACACTTTTATAAAATCTTTTCCTGATAATCCAAGTAATGATCTATTGCAAACATTTTTCTACTTCCTATTGTTTTTTATTACTTCTGTCCTTTATGTTTTTTCGTCAGTGTATTTTTGCTATTATAGTGAAACATCGACGCCAGGAGACGCAAGCCTCAACCTGGAATTTTTGCCGAACTCTCACTTTATCGTAGTGGAGAAATTTTTACTTGCCTTACATTGCTTAAAAAAGAGGGAGTATTCATACTTTCCAAGGGATGGTATGTACAAATCCCGCTTTTTGTATGTAGCTTTCAACCTATCAGATATGGGATTCCATAGGGTTCTTTCTTGAGGCCTCTATTATTCGTTATCGGTGAAGACCATTTTATATTGCCCCATACAACAGTACAATAGTTGTAGATGCACATTTATATTGTCAACGAGAAATATATGAATTACCTTCTACCCGAGATCAAATTGAATGGAAATAACTTAAATCAGACGAAAATCAGGGTAGTCTCTTTTAATAGTAGGTAACGTCACAATTATTGCGAAATTGAAAATATTAAATTGCTTGGCATTGCCGTAGATAACTAGTGTGTACGTGAATAAGCTAAATAAGAAACTTCCTCGTACTTTTCTTTGTTTCATTATCATATTGATTACAAAGTATCACTTTCGGATAGTTCTAGTTCTTCACATGCTATTCACATGTTTCGAATGCAAACGAGATCATGAAAGGGTGCTAGCAGGTATTGATTACTAGGTATTGTAAACGGTATTTAGAAAAGTTCAAAATAATAGCTTTACCTACTTTATTATATATGTATTACAAGTTCTCATTGAAATTCATAAGACAGTCAGTCTTACTCTTACTCAAGCAGTCGGAATTTCTTAATCACAATATTTGAAATACTCATATAATCAGAAATGATCATTTCCGATTAAGTCTCTTAGAAGCTAATGCGTTAAATTATATTTTTTATATTTTGTCACATACATTCTAAAACTTAAATATTACTCCTTTCAAATATAATAAAAAATATTTTCTTATTTTCTGCATCATTGTTTTTACCAAACCAATGAATACATGGAACATTTTAGGTCTTATCTAATTTTCAATTATATTAGGAATATTTAGGTTGAAAGTCTTTGCTTTCTTAATAATTATTTTTAGTATGTATTTTTTACTGTGCTTTTATTATTGTAACTTCTCGTATTTTGTGTATCAGTTTTAACACAGACAAAATAGCTATCGCCACAGACCGCTCCTGGAATAGGCCAGCAGTTTTAAATTTCCGAATTGCCGGTAGAGTACACCACCAGCAGAATTTTAGGAAGAATCAAATACAGCGGCCCGCATACCTAAGCGTATCCTAGCAACATATAAACAAGACTTTGGTAATGTTGCCAGGCGTACTTACGGATTTCTTTTGCACACTTTTTTATCAATATCTGTTTATTGCGTTACTGTATTTGCTTCAATGTATGATGTAGATATTGATAAAAATGTTTTTAAAGAATCAACGAATATCTATGTATGTATCATATGATATTCTGCAGTGGTGTTACAATTAAGTTATTTAATCATAATTTCGTTAATTAGCTACCTACTATTTTCATTTTTTGGTATTGAAATACTGCAGAAAATATATTTCCAAATAAACAAAATTCGTAATAATATTTTAAACAGCTTGTAATATAATTTTTTTAATATTTGATGATGACGATAAATTTATTTAATATACAAGGTGGGTTATTAGTACGTCGCGGAATGTAGGTACAGGTTTTTTTTTGTATTTTGACATCCACTTATAGGTTTAATAATTAAAGATAGAAAGAAACTTTAAATACAAATGTACGACTTTTCCTTTATTTCATTTGACATCAAAATTTACTGGCATAAAATATATATGTTTAAAATAAAAAAAATCATTAAAAAAAATTAAAATTCATCCTTATGAAAATAACAAACAACGCTTTTTATAACTAACCTTTACAACAACATAAGGAGAATAACTAAAAACGAAATAACATTAATATACCTACAATTTTTACAAATCAACATGCAAGTGATTGTGATGATACAGTTGAAAATATGTTTCAATTTACTATTAATTGCTTCAAAAACAAATTCAAAATTATCAAGCATTTCGTCCTGTATTTTTTTTTCAATACTTGCAAATTTTCAGGTAAAAAAAAAATGTCTAAAGGACTGACAATGAGATCGGGGCTGTTTTCTGGCCACCTAAGGTTTCTAATAATATTTTTTAGTGTTCGTTGACGGGATTCTTCCTCCAAAATAAATTTGCCAATATTCCTGAAGAACTTTTGCACATTATTGTTATTTGAATAATACAGTTAATTATGTTTTATTTTTCGTCATCAGAATAACCCATTGTAATTTTTTTAATTTTTTAAATTAAAATGGGTTATTCTAATAATGATAAATCCCATGTATTTTTAAAAGAAGGTTCGTTTCTGTCGTTTTTGTCTGATTGTGTGCGAGAGAGATAGAGTTATAGTGTGCGATAGAGATAGAGTGACTCTGTCCTCATAGAGAGCTTATCTCTCTCTCTCTCTCTCTGCTGTCTTCAGGAGTCTCCCCAGCAATTTCAGGACACCTAGGGAGGGAACGTGGGGTAGAGCGCGTGGCCTTGTTAAGCCTTCGTTATCGATCTATGATGTCACACAGTATAAGAAAAAAAAATGGTTTTTGCTCGTAACTCGGAAATGGCTGGAAATATAAACAAATTTCCCCTTGGTTCTGAGTAGAGCACTCGGTGGGTGACGCAGAGCGGGGTGTCACAATATATGAAAGAAAAAAAAACAGTATTTGCTTAGACTCTTAAGTATCAAAAAATCTCCCATGGTGAACAAATAAATCTCCCATGGTGAACGAGTGAAAAACGTCAAAACCCGCATGTCAAAAAAAAAAACGGGACCAACGGTGTGTGACGTCATAGGATAAAAAAGTGTTTATAACTCGGAAACGGTGCGTTGAATCGAAAAAATAATTGAAAAATGTCAACCCCTCCCTCCCGGGTTCTGTATGTTCCTTCTGCGTTGAATGCAAAAGGTCCGAAGTCCGTATGTCGAAAATAAATTCTGGAAACAAGAGGTATGTCGTGTTATAGTAAAAAGGCCGTATAACTCGGAAACGGTGCGTTAAATCGAAAAAATAATTGAAAAAATCTCCCCACACCCCTGGTTCTGTATGACAGTTCTGCGTTGAATGGAAAAGGTCCGAAGTCCGTATGTGGAAAATAAATTTCGGAAAGAAGAGGTGTGTGAGGTGATACAGTAAAAAAGGTCTTATAATTCGGAAACGGTGCGTTGAATTGAAAAAATAATTAAAAAAATCTCCCCACTACTCTGGTTCTGATTGTCCGTTCTGCGTTGAATGGAAACGGTCCGAAGTCAGTATGTCGAAAAACAAAAAAGTTAGTTAGTTAAAAATTGCAACAGCAGTAGCGAACGCATTATCTTATCTCTGTATTGATTGATGATTTGTTGTTTTTTTTTAAATAAATTTCGTATTCAACTACTCCTTGAGGTTCCAGCAATTTTACATTGTGTTAATTTTTTTGAACACCTTGTGTCACAAATATGGGCACTACCAATGACATCCATAATATGCAACACTTGTGTCAATAAATAATTATTTACCTATCTAAAGAAATCAACAATAAGAGGCAGTACCCATCTAAGGATACACAATCTGTATAATGCAATTTTTTTAAACATAGGTTTTGATATCGTACCATATTGGAAGTCGACGCACAAATCTAAAAACATTACTTTCGAGTTTTTGAATTTTCCCATTCCAAGGTGATATAAAATAAATAATTAATTAGGTAAATTCATAGTTTTAATTCTAACTTGATTTATTTTATTTAACATTTAAGGCAAATGTGATTTCCAAACACAAGATAAGTTCCATATCTCTTTAATTACATAATTGAAAGCATTAAATTTATTTAGCAGTTATTATTTGGCAACAAAGCCACCGCTGGAACTGCCGCCTATTAGCAAGTAGAAGAGTTACCACGCTAAATTTTATAGCTGGAAGCCGGCTAAGGAGACCCTGCTTCCATTTCGGGTTGCCAATTTCCAGCAGTTAATTAGCAGTCTGTAGCGATACGTTATATTGTCTGTGGTTTTAACTTGTTACAAACATGATTTATGTAATGTGGTCAAATAATCAAATACTTATATAATGTCTGTATGCATTTCAACTGTTATCACTACATTACAAATTGTTTTCTGTGTTCAGAGCAAAAATACGCCCATTTGTGTGAATTGTGCGGCAACCCCTCAAAATGTTCAATAAACGATGAGTACTGGGGAAGGCGTGGTTCACTATTGTGCTTGACTGATGGTGCCGGAGATATAAGTTGGGCACGTTTGGATGATGTGAAAACCCATTTTGGACTCCAATCCGGCCTTGTTCCAGACCAATACAGTTTGCTCTGCCCAGATGATTCCCTCATGCCTTTGACCGCTGCCGAACCTTGCATTTGGGTTGTAAAGCCTTGGCCAGTTGTGGCATCGAGAAGGTACGTTTAATATTTGCTTCAACTTCACAAGAAAGTAAGTACTAGGTACTATATCAAATTTGAAGTCTGTATCTTCAGTAGTTCTTGAATAATTGGACAAAAACTGTTTTATCTCCAGTCTTTGAGCGTTTAGGAATTATTTCAGGAAGACATTTTTTTGTTTCTTGTGAAAACCTAAGTTATCATTAAACTCCCAAATATTGTAAAGCTCATACATATATTTGACTCAGTCTTGTTTGTTTTAGATCTGTAGCTCAGGAAATTCAGGAAATAGTATCCTCATTATCTCCAAACGTCACAGGCTGGCGTCAAAGCGTTCTGAAACTCCTGGAAACCTCCTACACGGTCGTCAAAAAGGTCGACTCGATAGAACCAATTGAGAGCTATTTGCATCGAGCAACTGGTTTTCTGAGTGCAAATAGTTTTTCTGGATGCCATCCCCCTAGGACTATCAATATTTGCACTACTTCCATTATTGAAAATGCCAAATGCGCCTGGATGAGGGAATCTGCTGCAGTCTACGGCTTGGAACCAGATCTTGAATGTATAAAAGCTGATAATACAACACATTGTATGGTGGCTCTCAATCAGAAAGCTGCGGATATTGTCATGGTTCCTTCTGATTTGGTACATCGAGCAGAAAAGTAAGTAAGCCTTATAATTTGAACTGGATAATTAAAAAAAGTGATCTCTTTAAGTTGTTAGTTGAGTTTAACAAATGCATGTGCCAGGGTTAATGTTAAAAAGGTAGCATACACTTATTNCGGCCTTGTTCCAGACCAATACAGTTTGCTCTGCCCAGATGATTCCCTCATGCCTTTGACCGCTGCCGAACCTTGCATTTGGGTTGTAAAGCCTTGGCCAGTTGTGGCATCGAGAAGGTACGTTTAATATTTGCTTCAACTTCACAAGAAAGTAAGTACTAGGTACTATATCAAATTTGAAGTCTGTATCTTCAGTAGTTCTTGAATAATTGGACAAAAACTGTTTTATCTCCAGTCTTTGAGCGTTTAGGAATTATTTCAGGAAAACATTTTTTTGTTTCTTGTGAAAATCTAGGTTATTATTAAACTCCCAAATATTGTAATATTTGACTCAGTCTTGTTTGTTTTAGATCTGTAGCTCAGGAAATTCAGGAAATAGTATCCTCATTATCTCCAAACGTCACAGGCTGGCGTCAAAGCGTTCTGAAACTCCTGGAAACCTCCTACACGGTCGTCAAAAAGGTCGACTCGGTAGAACCAATTGAGAGCTATTTGCATCGAGCAACTGGTTTTCTGAGTGCAAATAGTTTTTCTGGATGCCATCCCCCTAGGACTATCAATATTTGCACCACTTCCATTATTGAAAATGCCAAATGCGCCTGGATGAGGGAATCTGCTGCAGTCTACGGCTTGGAACCAGATCTTGAATGTATAAAAGCTGATAATACAACACATTGTATGGTGGCTCTCAATCAGAAAGCTGCGGATATTGTCATGGTTCCTTCTGATTTGGTACATCGAGCAGAAAAGTAAGTAAGCCTTATAATTTGAACTGGATAATTAAAAAAAGTGATCTCTTTAAGTTGTTAGTTGAGTTTAACAAATGCATGTGCCAGGGTTAATGTTAAAAAGGTAGCATACACTTATTAATCATAAAACTAAAGTTTGTTATACAGGGTGATTCAGAACTTATCCAAAAAAAAAATCTGGATGTTCAGGGGACTCTTACAAATATGATTTTGTAAAGAAAAAATCAAAAAAGGCAGTTCGAAAATAATTTAAAAATACACTTCTGCACGGTCGCACAATGCGACCGTCACGGCGACAGTGATAAAAACGGACAAAAACTTAAGAATTTCGCAAGGAAATGAATAAATAGAATTTATATCAGCAAATTCAACTGGTTTTGCCGCTATTGTTATTATTAATTAATGAAATTAATTTGTGGTTTTAATTAATAAAATAATTTGACATACCTGATGTTACAACTGTTCAAAATTTTGTCCACCGACGTGTAAACACATTTGATCCTGTCTTACTACAAACTAACACAAATGTTGTCCTGCTTCACCATAATACAAATGTTTCACCATAATACAAATGTTGTCTTGCTTTACCATGAATTAAAACGATATCCATCAACTCCGAGTTGCTATACTCAAGCCATTTTTGACACTAACTGGGTACTACTAAAAAGCTATTGTAAACACTACCGCAACGACGACTGTATTGGGAGTCGCTGACGCAACGTGGCTCTCGTATGACGCTAGAGACTACAGTTGTCCAGCGATGTAGTGTTTGAAAGTAGTCCAACTTCAATAATGTTTTTCTCGGAAACAATAAGGATTTTACAATTTTTTTTTTACGATATTGACTCCATTTCTCATGCCGCATCTATTCCCAATTTTTTTTGGATAAGTTGTGAATCACCCTGTATACATATATATTAATCTGTGGGCCCGATTTGATATGCGTACAAGTCACAAATATAAATATTATAGCACCGCTTCACCATCGATTGGTGGAACATAAATTACATCCAATAACATTATGAAATCACCTGATGTAAAGTGCAGTGGTCCAATTGTAGGTACCCTAAAAAAAAGTTTTATATTAATCTTGCTAAAAATGTATACTTTAAAATTAACATATGATGCAGTTATATCAAAAGATATTATTAGATTTCGAAGAAATAATATAACTTGTATAAATATATGTACGTAAGAACTTTTCTGGTTAATTCCAAATGGTAAGTTACATAAATTTGAATTTTCCATTGTTTTTCTTAAGAAATTCGTAGAAACTTACCAAAAAATCTTGGACCATATTATGTTCACAAAGAAATTTTCTAAAAAATTATGTTTGTACAATAAATAATTACAATGCAAATATATACTATTTAATTATAATTACAGATCTTACATTTACGTAAGATTATACCGTTAATCTTACTTTATCTGTTCTCTCCTATGGAATCCTACGAAATGTCAAAATTATACAATTTGAATAACTTAACGGTCCATATATTTGTTACATAATATTAGGTGTAATCCTTGACATCAATACTTAAAAAACGCACCCACATAAACATCTTGGTGAAAGTTATTATTAAACGAAGATTTGGCTCGAGGAACCACATTAAAAAAACGAGTTTGAAAATGCAGAACGTCATATTTGAATAAATAATATCGTTGTTTTCTGTTATTTTTTTTATTATACATACGCACGTATCAAAAATAATGCAGCTTATTTTGGTTAGGCATATAGTTTAATAAACACACCCCTGACACCCGTATGGAGCAATGGTTTAGTTAATTAATTTTTATATTTTTTCACTGGAGCAAAATACCCGAATAAACATTAAAAGAACGTTTCTTTCATTCAAATTTAAAAACATTTCCTAATATAAATGTTTATCCGAAAAACCCTAAGTTTTAGATTTGCATTATGTTTTTTTTTTCTAAACGTTTTATCTCTTAATATCACATGAACAAATAAGGATATTGAAACAAACTTTTATATGCTTACAATTTCCTCAACCTCAAAAGTGGTAGATGCTACTGGAAAAATGTTTTTTGTCGTTTTTAAATCAATTTATGTTCATTTATTTTTAAATGATTTTACAGAAAGTGTTCAAAATGGCGTCCCTCTTTCTTAACACATTTTTTCGATTTTAAAAATCGTAAGAGAACATAAGAATAATAAAACGCATATGTTGATAGATGTAATATATATTTTTTAACTTTAAAACCCTGCAAAAACAAAGGTTCCAATGCCCTTGAAACTCTCTTTTTTAAATAAATATTTAAAGGTTAAAAAAAATATGGTTTGATACCTCTAAATATCTTTCAAATAAATTATGATATTAAAACGAAGTTTTGACTTTTTGAACGCGTTTTATAAAATCATATGAATAATTTAAATTTTATTTAAACTTATCGTTATTGCTCATTTGTATAAAAAAGCCTCTGTTGCTGGTTTGGGTTGAAACTTATTTTTATCAGATTCCATATCTCTTAAATATGTATCAGGCACAACATGTTTCAATATCCCCATATTTTGGAAGATATTTTGATATAGCTATTTTCTTAAACTTCAATATAGTATGAGTTTCAAACATGAAAATTTCAGGGACAAATATTTATTTAAAACATATATTAAATTTTATTGAAAACGCAACTTTATTTTTGACACGTCGTGTTAACAACCGATATATAGAGCCTTCATAAATGTTTGCAAGCCACGTGACCACCGAGCTTAGGTAACCCAACATCGCACGATTGGTAACGATTTAATATTAATGACTCGTTTCTAATGACCAATGACAAACGGTTACGTCTACGCTCGAGATAATGCGATCGCTGATTGGTTGAATAGAATCTCGGGGAAAATTACACCAATCACAGCCGGTGATATAGAACGTTGTGTTTTAATGTAACCTTGATCTTACTAATTCAATAATTTTTAATTTTACCGAAATTTAATAGTCAACATGAAGGAAATAAAATTCCAAACGAAATTACTCACGTGGCGCACGCATACACCGTTGCAGCATCTTACTATCATACCATAGCATACTTTCGAATGGGTATAACAAATTTTACCTACATATCCCTAAAATTAAATATGTATACATTCGTTACATGTCTATACATTATCTACAATTATATTTTGTTTGTATTTTTAGGGAGTACAACTTAACGACTCTCTTTTATGAAACCGTGAACGTAGATGAGAAGTATATCACAGTCGCTGTGACAAAACCAGAGTCGAACATAAAGACTTTCGCAGATCTTCGAGGAAAGAAAGCCTGTTTCCCAGTGTACGATGGCGTCGCATGGAATACAGTAAAAAAAGTCCTCTTCGACAAACAATTAATCAAGAACTGCCCTCTGGAAAAAGAAATAACTAACTTTTTCGGTCCAAGCTGTACCCCAGGTCTGCCAGATAATCTATCAGGCAGTATGAAGAAAACTTGTCAAGAGGATACCTTCAATGGAGAGTTTGGAGCTCTCCAATGCCTCTCTAGTGGAGCTGGCGATGTAGCTTTCGTATCGAGAAATTCCATCAAGAAATTTGTTTCTAGTAAGTTATTTTTATTCAAAATTTTATCAATATCTGATGCTGAAAAAAATTTTTTTTTTTTTGGAAATGTTAAATGTAATAATCTAAAAAGATTTTTTTTACAAAATGTCACTTTATAGGAAAGAATTCTAAACAATTGAATGTATGGCTTTTTGTTTTCAAGATACATTACTGCCAATTTCCGAGATCATTTTAAAGAGTATAAAAGTTAAACATATGTCCACTTGACAGAAATAAATCTTAAGGGACACATCTCCAGTGCACCTCAATAAGTCTTGATATTCCGAAAAAACGATTTGTTTCTGTTTTCACTGGGCAATGACGTCACTTTTTAAAATTACAAACTGTCAAAAATGTTTAAAAACGTAATCGTTTCTTTAATTTTATCAACGTACTTTATTAACACCCTGTATATCAATTTGTGGAAGAGGTACCAAAAGACGGTTTCGAAATTGGATTTAATTCTCAGCGTTATTTGATTAAAAAGATATAATTAATTTTATTCGAAAAACGAATTTCAAATCATTATTTTTTAATTTTAAAATGAGTTTATACCACATAGATGAATAATTTGAAAATAAATTCAAAACTGTTCGTTGCATAAAAAAAATATATAAAATTACTAACCTAGAAATATTAATTTCTACGTCAATTGTTTTTCTTTGCAGTTTTGATAAACAATTGTTCAGTTCAGTTTTAAATTATATGTCTAACTAAAAATGCTTAGTCATATTTTAAATTTTTAAATAAAAATCTGTAAAATATACTTAATAAATACACTAAAATTCAACTGGTTTGTATATCGAAGAAAATGGAACACTTTTTTTCTTTGAAAAGCCATTAGAAATTAAAAGCACTTATATTCGGTGAATTTTAGATTTTTTGTCTGTTGTGGAAATTCAAATAGTATTTCCCCTTTCAGGTGAAAATGAAAACAGTGCAAATAGCAAATTGAAAATCGAAGACTTCAAAATACTTTGTGAGAGTAAGACGAAACCATGCCATCTAAGTTGGGCACCGCTTGGTCAAGGAATGATTCGAAATAACAGCACAGACCTTTGGAAGAAAGACACGCTGGATGTATTTTTGCGACTGGATAACTTATTCGGGAAAAGCTACCAGTCCCTAACAACTCCTTTCACTATGTTCGGAAAGTACGACGGGAAATCAGACCTGCTCTTTCACGATGCTACCATAAGACTGCGTAGCGTTGCAACTAGTAAAGATTTTGATACCATGGTATATCCGTACAAGGACTTTTTGAATGTAGATACAATGTGTATAAATTCAAACGCGTCTAGAATCTCATTTAATGGTTATGTATTGTTGTTCATAGCGGCCGTCTCAGTTAGATTTTGTTTTAATTAGTTTTGTTTCATGTTTGTTCTATAAAATTGCACTGATTATAAATACTGTGATATTCATTGTATATACTTGTACTGTACAATAAATATGTTTTTTACATAAATACTTTCATTTTACTACCACCATATTGATTTTATGTAGATATATTCCGCCTAGACTTTATATTCATCGGAGCATGAAAATTACCTGTTCCTTCCCTACAGTATTGATTATTTCACGATTATTCTAGTTTTCGTTTTGTTGGCAACAGCATGACATACTTATTCCTGTCAAAACATTCGCAAATGCTACACTTTTAACGCTTTGTTTAGTTATTATTTATGTCTACAAGGAAGGTAAGATACATATCACTATAATAAACTAAAAACTTATTGCTTGTTTATCGTATATAGGATGCAACCAAAACGTCAAGTACAAACTTATCAAAGAAAAAAGTGTCCACAAAGGCATCTTCAAAGCGAGAAGACAGTACGGACAGAAAAAACGTTAAGAAAACGGAAGTGCCGCACAAAACGAAAACTAAACCTATTGCAACCGGTTTAACAGATAGGAATGCAGATAATAACGCTGTAAAGAACAATACTAACTTAAAAGTCGAAAAACCCTTAAAAGTACAAAGTACACCGCATGGAAAGCAAGTGCCGACCACATCTACAAGAAAAAATGTTAAAACAAAAGTGCCAGTGACTCCTCCTAGTAATAGAATATCAAAAACGCAATATTTTCCTAGTAAAAGTTTATATGCTAACGCGCTAAAAGTAGATGAATCTATACCTAAAAACACATCAGGTAGCAGCAGTCGAGAAATAACGAAAAAGGTATCTCAAGACAGGAACGACGCTAAAATTGTTATAAACAGAGATAAAGGTAAGGATACTATTAAAAAAGTACCTCACCAAAAAATCAAAAGCAAGCCTAAAGATTTTGGAGATGGAAATGTAATCAAAGCAGCCAATACCACCAAAAGAAAAACCAGAGATGTATCTCCAGATTCCAGCAGCATCTCTGAGAGACCTCGAACAGCCACTTTACGGAAAGGCAGTATAGTCAACGCTAACATAGTAGGACCAGACGTGCCTAAACAATTAGTCCCTAGGACTAAAATTAAAGAAGTTCTTAAAGTTAAATCTCCAAGCCCGAAATCAGAAAGATCTGATGAGTATAACTACGAAGATGACTTTGAGTCATACGAATCCGACTTTGAGGAATATTTTTCATCTAGCTCTGTCAACTTAGATGACGTTTCCGGAGAAGAAACGAGTAGTGTAAGTAGCAGTAGCAGCAGCACCAACGTAAACCTAACAACAGAATTCAAGTCGACACAAAATAGAACAAGTTCTGCGGGTACTGATGATGAAAGAAAAATGGATTCGGGACATTTTGACATGCCCGAATTTAAACATAGGCAGGTATTGGATAACATAAAAGAATCTATAGAAAAAGAAAATGCGAATCTCAAATTCCATGAAATACAGAGGAATAATCCCGCGTCTCTATCAGATGAAGGTTTCGAGGACCAAAAGTCATTACAGTTTATCAATTTCTTAGACGCTAAAAAGAAATATGAGCATCGGAAGAGCATGGAAATTAAGCGCAAGCGCGGTGAAGAAATCCTTAATATGATCAGGTTGGACACGTGCAACTTCACTTTATTTGAATTGGCGCCTGTGACGTACGAAGTTTTCATAAAAAATTACGGTCGCAACAATACTATTCAAACTGGAGTACAAACGGGTGAGGACAATGTAGACGAAGACATTCAAACAGAAGAAATTACAAACGTTTCCAAGTGGACGCAATTTCCTGTTTGTTTCTCTAAAATTAATGCTGATGATCCAAACTATTGGCAGATCTATAAAAGTGACTATCTAGGCGTAGGTGGAGAGGTTGCAACTGAAGATAAAGTCAATAAAAAGCCTTATAACGAAAACAGTTTAATAAAGTTTCTTCTATCGACTGGAAATTTAATTTTAAAACTTCAAATCGAATCAAACTTAGAAAATAACGAAAAGATTACAAAAAATACTAGAGATATTCCATTTAGTAATGGTTATGTGTTATTTAATACCTCCCAAAATATTACTAAAGACTGCTCAGTAAAGTGTTTTTCGTTTTCTCCCGATAGCAGTAAAGTTTTAACCGTACATTCGCCGAAAAAGCAAAATGTAGAGGTATATAAAAGTATAGTGTGTGTATGGACAGTTACGAATTCTGAGGAACCAGACGTATTTTTCATCTCTTATGGTGATATTTCCTGTTGTTCCTTTGGACTGGAGTGTTCCGATTATATTTTCGCTGGATTAAATGATGGGTAAGGGAAATTTCTTTAAACAAATGATGCGTTAGTGTAACAGTTTTATTTTCTTTTGTTTTCAATATATTATTGGATTAAACAATGTGCCCTTCTGTAGTCATTCCATTTCCAATATGAAGAAATAAATAATTTTCTTAATTCTATTTAATATACTGAAATTATTTGACAATCACCAATTAACAAGTCAATACGTTTTTTTATTTATCTGCTGAAATAGTTAGGGGTTAAAATAAGATTGTCTGTACACTATAAACTCTCAATATTTACCATTTGGGTACACCAAGATAAAAAATTAGATATTATTATTATTCTATTATTGAATTAATCTACACTCGAACAATATACTTTCTTAACAAACCTAGAATTTTTTTTTCTTAATGTTGAGTGAATTATTCATAGTAACGTAATTATTTCAGAACTATTTCTGTATGGGATTTTAAGAAGAAAATATATAATGAAGATTCATTACTAAAAAGAGCTCCTTTGCATACCAATGCAGTTGGTTTAGGACACATTAGTAAAATTGTATCTTTGCAACCTTTTACGAATTACCTTGACAAAACAAGATACTTTCAAGCAAATCAAACAAATGAGGTAATGTTTTGAAATATTAGGCACTTAATTAAAATGAGTCACCTACATTCAAAGAAGTAACGACAATATTTTTAATAGAACTTTTTCCAGATTTGCAGTCTAGATGAAGAAGGCGATATAATTGTTTGGAGCGTCATTTTGAAACACTGTTCTAAAGATTCTAACACTTCAAACTGCACTTCTTGGAATGACCTAGTACTTGTAAAAAATACCAAAATTTCTTTAAAACATATTTACCCAGAACTGGAGGACCTTCAATGTACTGATTTTGCAGTAAATACAATCAATTCCAATTATGTGTTGGTGTCTACTAATTACGGATTCATCATTCATCATCTTATAAAAGGTGGAAGAAGTAACGTCAAAAAATTCGCTCCAGGTGTGTACTGTACGCCAGATTTCATACTTAACATCTTTGTAATCTTCCTAATCGATTTTTTAATTATTTTACGTAATTTGTTTTAAAACATTCTACCCTTTTTTAGAATCACCTTCTGTGGCAAATTGTATAGAAGCGTGTCCATTTTCACCAAACTACTTTCTTGCTGGATTCAATGACGGCAATATAAACCTCTATTCGAGGCTGGTAGAAAAACCCATAATGGTATTATCCGATAAGGAAGAAAATGTACGGAATAGTGCAGTTCAAATCATCCAATGGTCTAAAAACAGACCATTCGTGATATACGCTAAGGATGTTAATAATACAATACACATATGGGATTTGAATGAAAGTGATATATATCCTATTTTTTCTATACCATTTAGTCAGAATATCACGTGCATGAAACTGTCACCGATGGTAATGGACGATAGTTGGAAAAAGTCGTATATGGTATAAGCTCACTTTTAATATATTGCGTTGTTATGAAGATTATATACCAAATAAAATAAATTTTTCACTATTCCTCTTAGAAAAGTAATATATTTAAAAATATTATTGACAAAAAATACATATTTTGCGGTAGAAGAATTCAACCAAAAACAATAAAAAATCTCTCAACAATATTTGTATATTTATAATATAATTATTTCATTTTTCCATTTCAGATTATTGGCACTGAAGATGGTAAATTATACCTGCACCTACTCAACAAAGAACATGGTCCACAACCAAACCGAACATATAAAGAACACCTTAATACATTTTTAAAATACGTTAATAGATTGTAACATGTAAGTAATTTGTTTTTATTAAATAAGTATCCTTTGTGATGAAGTTAGAAATGGTTCTCTAATACATAAAAATTTATACTTATGTGATTATACATTTGAATAGCATATTTATATAATATAATAAAATTTCGCATATTAAGTACTGAATTATTTCCCGAATATACAGGGTGTTTTTAATAGCACACCGCGGATAAGTTCTATGCTGATTGCCTGATTGATATTAAATTGGAATTTGATAAGATTGATATTTTTTTAGATATAACAAAGGACTTATTTTTTATATTTTCACTTATTTGGATAACAGTGACAAGATTTGATACGTCTATTTTTAATAATAAGAGAGAATAATAATTTGAACGAAATTTGGTACGATAATACTTGCATACAGATGTTACTTTATGGCATAAAAACCGAAATAATAGCATTTACAGAAATAGGAAAAATATCCACATCCCCTTCAACATTCACGTTTTCCTCTTGTAAATTTTTTGTTTTGCTAAAGGTTTTTGTGTACTCAATTATTTAATGAGTCGTATCACCAACGCATTCTAGATACAAATCTAATTTAATTAACGTTGAAAATGTAGGTAATTTTTTTAATAATAAAACGATTTATCGCTAGAATATAAGTGAGGCAAAATATTTCAAAATAGGTTTGGGGGAGGAGACAAGAAATGCACCTTATAAAAATAACACAGACCATTAAATTTTAACTTTTTTTTGGAAGCAGAAACTTGAATATATATTTTCGAAGGATTTAGGTGCGCTGAATCCGAATCTGGCAGCAGAATTGTTCTATCACGTCAGGTTTTTGAAATATCCCAACCTAAATGTGGAAAAAACGCTGTTTTTCGTCATGCTTGAGGTTATGTTGTAATGCCATCTATTTTTTTTCAAAAAACTAATACATTGAATCTAAAAGTACAAGGCTCCCTCCTTTGAATGCCGTTGAGTTTGCTCAAATATTTTTTTTTTTTCGTTGAGATACCACATGTTGAAATTCTCAGTTTCTTAAGGGCCCCATATTCTTTAAATAGTGTTTTCCGCAAAGACAAATAATTTCAAACATTTAATAACTGAATAATCTAAAGCTTATCAAATAATAGGAATGTTATGTCATTCCACCAGAGTATTTTCAAAGACGCCGCAGTAAAACGAATAAACAGGTTCAAAAAATGATCAAACCATCAAGGTTTTAGGTACTGAAATCTACGANTGTTTGTATGGTTTTATTGTTACTTGTTCGTTATGAATGTCTCAAGAGAAGAAGCCGCGACTATCTTGATGAAATTTATCCTAATATATGGATTGGTCGAGTTGGGCCACTGTCATGGCCTCCTAGATCATGTGACCTTACACCACTTGACTTTTTTGTGGGGGTTTGTAAAAAGCGGGGTATATAGAACCACAAATTACTCGTGACGATATGATAAATAGAATAAGACAAGCTTGTCTTGATATTACACCAGAAATGCTACATACGTTTACATTAATATCGTTCACCGAATTAACTTGCGTATTCCAGAAAGAGGAAGTATTTTTGAACATCTATTGTAACACTTAATAAAACTTTGTTATATCAACAAATATATATTTTGCGATCATATAAAAGATGTCTCGTTCATTAAAAATTCAATAAGAATAAGAAAGCTACATAATTTAGGATCATTGATCTTTTCTGCAAAAAGTAAAGATTTAAGCAATGCTTTTTTGATTCAGCTCTTTAGTCCTAGTACGTCGACGCTATTTATGGTAAAAAAAATGAAAAATAAAGAAATTGCGAAAAATATCGTAAAATATGAGGAACTGATATATAACACTTATTATGAAAGTTTTATATTTTGAGAAGGTCTTTCACATCTAGTTAAAAAAGACAGGGTGTTCCATTTGAAAAAAAAACAAAATTTTTGCCTTTGAAAAAGATTTGTATTAAAATTATTCTAATTTATTTGAATTAATACTAAATTTGAAGTAAAGTAAATCTAATATATTAATTAATTCAGCAAAAACCGTTAATACACACCAAATTTACGAGAAAAAACTTGAAAATGTCTCCTTACTTTATAAATAGAGACTGATGTAATGTTACCTACCATAAAAATATGAGCACTTTTAATAATTTAAATAATATATGCAACAGCAGTCATCAAAATTAAATATGTATATTGCACGTTCTATAACTTATGTTTTTTTTTGATTTTCCATCATTTTTAAATTGTGGAGGCACATGTTTGACTTTTTTGCTGCTGTGATCACCCTCGAACATAATACGCAAACTACAAGGTGCATTCCAAATTGAGCAGGATTTTTCAAAAATAGGTATTTCCAGTGAGGCTATCTATTAACAATTATCGGAAAGGTAAATCCTTCACTGATGTACTGTCAAAATTTCATGACATTTGGACTAATAGAAGAGGAGTTATTGCGTCTGTGAACATCGAACAAAGAGCTAATATTAACTTTTGTTTTAAACTTTTACCGAAACGTTTCAATTGATGAACCAAGTATATGGTGATGATTGTTTATCCCATAGAATTCATGAGCGGTATACGCGATTTAGAAACGGTCGTGAGGACATAAACGATGAGCAACATGTTGGCCAACCGAAATCCGTGATTACCGCAGATCCCATCAAAACTGTGCGTTGATTCAAAAATCAGCCAAAATCTTCATTGAAATTCATGGAATTGGAATTGAGCATCTCAGAAACATCTATTTTTCGCATTTGGGCCGAACGTTTGGGCTACCGAAAAGTGTGTGCACGGTTTATTCTGCACAAGTTAACTGACTACCAAAAATTGTTCAGAATTCAACATTCGAAGGACATCATCAAGAGGACAAAATGTACTTCTTGTACAACATTGTGACTGGTGATGAAACGTGGTGTTTTCAATACGATCCAGAAACCAAGCGCCAAAGTAGAAGGCACCAGACGAGCCAAAACCCAAAAAATCTCGTTTGGTCAGTCAAAAAAAGATGATGTTGATTTGCTTTTACGATTCCAAGGGCTTTGACCACAAAGAATTCGTTCCACCGGGCCAAACCATTAATGTCCAATTCTATCTTGGCGTTTGGTGCATCGTATTCGCGTATTCGACCAGAATATCGCGCAGAAGGAAGTTGGCGTTTGTTTCACGATAACGCGCCAACTCGTGACCCTTTTTTGACTAAAAATCGCATTTAACTGTAAACCACTCCTCGTATTTGACTGATTTGGCACCGGGCGACTTTTACCTTTTCGGAAAAATGCATGTGCCAATGAAAGAATAGCGTTTTATGGACGTAGAATCCATCCAAAAGGCTTGTACCGACATTCCTAAGGATCCCCGGACAACGATCTAAAACGCTCATTCGACATGCTTTTAGACCACGGATGCACATGCCGCGGCCAGCGGGCCGCATGCGGCCCGCTGTCGATGTTTATGTGGCCCGCCAACGAATTTTAAAAGTATTCTACTCGCCGCGCTCCGGTCCAAGCATATTATTACGAGACTAGGAATCTGTCGCATCAACTAGATTACAGATTCGCGAAACACGTCGATCCCCGAACAAAGTGGATGGTTCTCGATGTTTGGTAACTCGTATAAATACGACGCATCGCCGGCTACCGGGGCAGTTAAGTTTTGACTACGGATAAGCGAACGTTATACTGTTTGAGAACTGTAATCTGTGACGAGTAAATATTTCGTCGTTCGAACTTGGCTTTTACCGACTGTAACATATAATATTAATTTTGATATGGATAAACCAGGCCCCAGTAAGAAACGTAGTCGTAAGGTTGAAGATGAAAATCGACAGTTTCATGATATTTGGACCGAAAAATACTTTTTTATTTCATCGCATAACAAAATTGTCTGTTTAATATGCAAGAGTAGTGTTTCTATTCCGAAGGAATATAATGTGAAAAGGCACTATGAAACCCAGCATCCAACTTTTACCAAATTAACTGGCGAAAATCGAACGCAAAGAATTTCCACTTTACAACGGGAACTAATAGGCCAGCAATCTATGTTTACAAAACCAATTCAAGATGCTGAAACAGCCACTGAAGTTAGCTTTGAAATATCTCGAATAATAGCGAAAACTTGTCGGCCTTTTAAAGATGGTGAGTTTGTTAAGCAATGTTTGGATATCGCCGCAAAAAAAATTTGTCCGGAAAATGTAAAGAAGTTTGAAAAAATTCAGTTAAATCGGATGACTGTTCAAAGAAGAATTACCGCATTAGCAGATAATATAGAAGAGCAATTAGCTACGAAATCGAGAAGTTTTGAGTATTTTTCTATAGCGCTCGACGAATCTACAGATATAAGTTCAACTGCTCAACTATTAATATTTTTACGAGGTGTAACGCAAAATTTTGAAGTGAGTGAAGAACTGATTGGTATGAGTTCTTTGACAAGTCAAACCAGGGGAAGTGACATGCTCAAAGCTCTTCTAGAAAAATGTTCTATAATGGATTTGGATTTAACGAAAATATCTGGAATTACAACTGACGGAGCACCTTCAATGGTTGGAAGTACATCTGGGATAGTAACTCTGTTAAAAACATATTTACAAACTAAAAACATAAATACCAAGGAATTAATGCAGTTTCATTGTATTATACATCAAGAGGCCCTCTGTTCAAAATTATTGGGATTTGAAAATGTTATGAAAGTTGTAGTACCTACCGTAAACTTTATAAAATCACGAGGTCTCAATCACCGACAATTCAAACAATTTCTCGAGGATATTGAAAGCGAATATGGTGATCTCCTGTTTTACACTGAAGTAAGGTGGCTAAGTCGTGGGTTGACACTACAGCGATTTCTTAACTTGATTGAAGAAATCCAACTATTTCTGGCGGAAAAGAAAAACGACGTCCCCGAACTCGACAACCCTGATTGGCTGTGTGACTTAGCGTTTCTTGTAGACATCACAAATCACTTGAATGTCTTAAATACGCGACTCCAAGGCAAAGATCAATTGATTTCGCAGCTATACTCTCATGTTTCGTCCTTTCAATGCAAATTGAGTCTTTTCAGGACACAAATCAATTCAGCCAATT